AATAGAATAGAATAGAATAGAATAGAATAGAATAGAATAGAATAGAAGGTTAAGGATACCCAAGGCTCCAGTTCAAATATTACATCGATGGTATCAATGCTGTCATGCAGTGGAGACATCTGGCTCTGATGTCTCAGCAAAATAATAATTGACTATAAGACCCTCTCCTGATTATGATTAAGTAAAAATTGTCACTCCAAAATCTTCTCTGATTGGACTTTCAGCTCCTTCTGAGGAAGCTAAATTTTTTTGATTGGCCAAGGCCATTGTACACCCCCAATAGGCAAATATTAAAGGAACAATTAGAAAAAGGGGGAGATTCAAGCTAGAAACCCAGGACGGAGACACATAAATTTATTTGTTTAAAATTTAATGGTTTAATCATTTTTTTAATTTTTTAATGCTTCAGGAAATAGAACAATGGGTGTAACTAGAATGCAGGCAACTGCTCTCTTGTGATGCACTGGATGGCAGAGTTGAATGTGGAAGGCATGCCCCATTGATTTCCATGGTCCACAGTCCTGCTGTTCAGAAGCATGGAACTGAGACACAGATCCATGTTTAAAATAGAGCTAAGGATGCCTGATGAACCAATAAAAAAAGACTTTGTGTGAATGCTTTTGGAGTTACTCCGTCTCCTTTATGCCATCCAGACAGTAATAAGCAGAACAGCAGAAAGATACCGTGTTTCTCCAACAATACGACTTCCACCAATAGGAAGACCCAGCATGTTTTCTAGGCATAAAATCAAATTAAGCCCTTCCCCCCAAATTTAGGCCTAGTTTAAAACATGCAAAATGGGGGGAAGGGTGGGCGGACTTGCCGTTAGGAGCACCCTGCATGCAGCAATTCATCACAACGCTTCCACGTTTGGAGCACTGCCACTGTTTGGAGCACCACCACCATTTGGAGTCCCACTGCCACTCCAAACACGGCGGCAGCTCCAAACACGGCAGCAGCTCCAAACGTGGGGGCGGTGCTCCAAATGGCGGCGACACTCCAAACACGGCGGCAG